TTATTGCGGATAAGCATTGAGACGTATGTGATCGAGTTGACCTATGCGATAGATGAATATGCGCGATCATCGTGCGCAGTCGAGGCGATGGCGACGGGTGTGTGCTGGTGTTCCAGGCCCTGGCACGACGGTCTCTATGCAATGGATTTGCGAGGTCGATGCGTGATGTCATGTGCGATAACAATTCAAGTAATCTCTTGTCGTCCATCTTCGCGATGTGGCCTCTCCATCCCAAACTTGCATTAGCATGAAGTGGATTCTTAAGATTCCGGTCCGTTCGAAAATTTGTGTCCGCGATCCTGGCCTGCTACCTCAGGTTTATTATTCTCCGGAGACAAGTGAGGTGGGTGTGATTGATATTCCTGGCTTGATTGCTGTAGACGATTCATGACACCGCCTCATACAGTAGCACTGTCAGAACTATCGCCCTGTACACTTTCAGTTTCATGTTAATTTGAAGACCGTGGATAGTCCAGACGGAGGCCTGCAGCCAGCCGAAAGCCTGGCTAGCTGTAGAGATCCAGTCGGCCACTTTGTCGTCAATCTTGTCGTTAGAAATCGTGCAGTCCGAGTATTTGAAATTGTCCACTGATACGCGTCAGTTGCCATTCATGTGGACACTCGTGCTGATTGGCGCATGACCACCGTGTTGTCCTTTTTGATGGTCAGCCCGAAGTTAGCGCGTCCGAGGGCGCATAGCTGCCAGCACCCATGATCGTGATCACCACCGCCGACTCATATCGCCTTTGTCTGTCATGCCTTGCGTACGCGCGTGTGACAATTCCGCCAACGTCGTGGCGCTGATCGATGCTCCTTTCTTCACCGACGAATCGCTGCCAGACTAAGTCTTGAGCGGACGCGCTTCATCTGGCACCTCGTGGGAGCGCCTGCTACAACTGCACGCTGAGCTTCCTGTACGCTCTTTTGCCTTTGCAAAGATTGTCCAACTCAATCCGTGTTCTCTGACTTGTGATTTGGGTTTCCTTATCTGTCGAATCATCCCACATACGGAAGGCGAGGTCTGTGCACATTTGCGTGGCTGCTTCTGTCGTGGCACTGACTATACAGCAGTAGGTGTCCAGAAGGATGTGACAGAACCGGGAAGCCGGGTGGAAACTGCAGACCCGCATACAAGATCACAAGTCGGCGACTCAGAGGCTAGATTCAGACTCAACTAGTAACTCGCGTTGGAAAAACTGCGGATACTTTCGATCACCAGAAAGCTATCATCTTACGCCGGGGCAACACAAAAGCAGAACTAGCAATTGAGACTTGGTACGCCGATGCCAATTACATCAACAGGCATCCGGACCTTCCTGCAGCCAACAAAGTCCTACGTCGTCACGTCTGTTGAGCTCAGGACCGAGTAACCACACTGAACTTAGGAAGGCCAGACATAGGCCGACGCCGAGTCTACTCGGCGAGGAAAAAGAAGCACCCAACCGACCATCCGACGAAAGTTCAATCACATCTCTCCGACGAAGCAGTGACTCACAAAGCACCCAGAAATAACCCCCACCAACCATCGCCCGAGAGGCCGAGGCAGCGAGAGAAGAGAAAAATCGATCAGCACGGGACCGACCACCGCGACATTTCACCTGAAATTTCTGGTCGATAAAGTGCACTTTACGCATTGACTATGGGGAGCCGATCGAGCTCTTCGAAACAGCAGTGCCTAAATGAACACGTGCTGGTGAGCCCATCATCTTCTTAAAAAAAAAAAACATTTTAATCCTTTCACATTTTTTATAGATCGGAGACAGGTCATGTGATGGCGCAGCTTGCTTGGTTTAAGTAATTTTTCTGAGATTCGGCGCTGAAGAAGGTCTGTTAAAGCCTAAGGCATTGGAACTTAGCTCAGTGCTGAAAAAGTGCCATGATGACCCATTATGCGGGATAAAACTTGTCGAAGACCAGACCAACTCTGGTGGTACGGACTGCAATACCATAAATCTTTACACGTAAAATTGTGCTTTCCGGATCACGTATTCCGTTTACAGGTGTAGTGTGTCTGCCATGGACATGGATTTGGGTTTGGTATACTGTGCGTTTGATGCATTGTCACCGTTTTCACGTGTGCTGGAACCCTGGCAAGTCCGTCGCTAACATCTTCCGTCATCGTTCCTCCTCTAAGTGTGGTCACGAACCTCCACCCCTACTAAACGATAACAAAATCTTCCTCATCCATGACACTGACAAGGCGGAGTTGTTTAGTGCCTTCTTTGCAAAACACCTTAATACTGAGCCCCACCCAGCCCCTTGCTTTCACTCACTTTCAGATAGGACACTGAGTACAATCAATGTATTCCCAGATCTCACTAAGAAACACATAAGTCTTTTGAAAAACCCACACCGCTCAGGAACCGACGGGATTCCAAATTAGATTATTAAACAAGCATCCGACCTTCCCATATTGCTTAGTCATGTATTCTCGGTTTATATTCTGAACGGATTTCTCTCCGAAACATGGAAGACGTCAGTTATCATTCCTGTCTTCAAGTCTGCATCTCAGTCCGATGTTAATAACTATCAGGCCGTGCGCAAAACACCATCTCTAGCAAAACTTATTGAACGGATAATTTTCAATGAGATTCTTGATTTCCATCTAACTCATCATCTTCTGAGCTCTAGTCAGCATGGATTTTTACCTAACTTATCCTACGAATCTTACCACTTGGACTTTCTACATCTAGTTCATTAATGAACAGCGGTCATCTACTTTGATCTTAGTAAAGACTTTGATAAGGTGCCCCATAGACGTTTTTTAGTAAAGTTGGAAGCTCTCGGCATCGGGCCGCCTCTAATCGACTTCATCAGGTCCAAGCGATATCAGAAAGTCATGGTCAGTTATAACTACTCGACACCTCACTCGATCACGAGTGGAGTACTTTAAGTCGCGGTTCTGGGTTCGCTACTATTCCTTCTTTACATCAATGATATTTCGACTCGACTCATAATTTCGCAACATTTCATTTAAGTCGATAACCTAAATTGTGTTTACTCATATTATAAGGGCACCGTAAATGTTTGTGTTGAAAAAAATTAAAACCGATTTACTACGCTTCAGCAGATAGAGTTTAACATGTCTGAGAGAAACCCCATCTGCCAAGTGTAGTTTTGTCTTTTGGTCCTGCCACACTTCTTGGTCCCATAATTTTTCAGAATGACCCACTCTCAGAATGCTTCACCATAAAGGACCTAGGTCTAACTCATACAAATAAACTTGCTTTAACACGTCATACAGATAGTCTCTGCCAAAGCCGCGCAGATATGTGGGTTCATATCGTATAATCTTTCCTTCCGGAAGTGAAGCTAAGAACTTATCAAATGTTTGTTCTTGCTTTCAAGTATTGTTGTCCTTCCTTTGGTTTAATGAACGACTGTAACACTAATAAAATTGAAAATGTCCATAGGGTTTTTACCCGGAAACTGTTCTCTCAAGTCGCATCCGGCACTTCTTATACTCAGAGATGTCAGCTAGCGAACATTACCCTGCCAGCACCAGCCCCGCCTGGCCCCCTCAATAATGGCGGGTCTAGAAGGGGCCATAAGGGGGCTAGGCGGGGCTGTGGCGGGGCATGCAACGCGATAGCCCCGCCAGCGAAAAAAATGCGCAGGGGACGCCACATCCCCGCCCACTTTTGGCACAACTTTAAAATATCGTCCCGTATGGCGAGTCCCCTGAGGCGCAGTGCCTCACTGTTCCCACATGTTACACGTCGAAACCCACCTTGCGTACGTAGAGTACTACGGTATTACATAGTACTCACAGTGACCCCGCCGTACACGTGCCCACTAATCGACAGCCAATATTAAATACACGCGACGCGAATTCATGTGAATGAGTTATTTATTGTATAAACGAAAAAGTAATTGGAAAATATGTACAATCATAATAAATGTCAGTGCCAGTATATACATGGATTTCAACATATGTTATGCCATTCAGTTGTGCGTTCCAGAAGTCCCCGCATCGACGGCTGGTTCCTATAATTGAAGAAAAACATTTCTTTGGAAAACATATGGTCGATGGAAGGGAATCAATACTTTAAAATCTAAATGACAATTTTTGCACTTATTAAGTTCACTGCAGCAGTATGAATATTTAACCTAAAATATGTGAATTTCATTGATGGTAATTACCGTGTCTTCAGATAGAGACAGTGTGGGACAACGGGTATCATCGCTAGTCCCTCCAATTGCCTCCCGGCGTTTAGCCCGGCCGCCATATATGGCGGTATACCGGTCCCTCGATCCATGGAATCAATCAATGACAGTCTTGCGAACCATTTCGTGGGCGCAATCTCTATAGGTAGGGTTCCGGCGAATGGCATCTGAAGTGTTAACAAATGAGGAAAACTTACCACACAGGGGTGCATATAAAGGACTACCAACAAAGGATTGGTTTTCCACTGAGCCACTCCAACAGTAGTCACGCCTTCATCTGGCGCTTAATGCGCCTATATATGGTGCTTCGGTGATAGCCAGAGTAATTGCGCTTCATAATTGCTTTGGATATTCAGTAAAAAACGATAAACAATCTGTATAAGTGGACTACGATCACAAAGGCTAAATACTACATACATAGACATACAAGTCCACTACTTGAACTGGCTGGTGAGTAGATTGTAAAGAGCAGATATTTGTAGTTAAGTTTGTTTTAATTACTTTTGTTAATGCTCTCCTGAGCGACAATCCGCTCTCTTTGAAGCGACGGTTACGGATCGCGAAGCGGACGCGCAAGAGGTGAAACCCCGCGTACCGACACCCAGACAGGAAGGAGGGTAAATCGTAGGAAAGCTCGCGCATACTTTCTGGTTCCCTTACTCCATTGTCACCCCCTTTACCCCCCCTGCCCACGAATTACAATTTCCCTACTTGTTCTCGATTCAATAAACGTTCCTCGTTGGAAGTTCATTTCTGGTATTGACTGTTGCGATTCGCGTGATCATACCCATAAGACCCCCACACAAAGGAGAGACGTGATGGATATGTCCGCTATGCCTCCTACAGACGAACTGACTCAACTATCTCCCAAAGACCTCAACACAGACGAGACCAAGTCTTCAGGTAACCCGAGTATTACAATGGTGGCAGCGCGCAGTACAGAACCGTCTAGCCCTAGAAGAACACCAGCACCCTACTACCACGCCATACCATCCTCATTTCATATTTTTGATGGAGAAGAAGACTTCGGGGATTGGCTAAATCTACTTGATTTCTATTTGGAGGAAGTACCTGACAACGAAAAAAGCCGCGCCTTATTGAAACATCTGGCAAGTAGGCAACTCCGCCAGGCACTTAATTCTGGAGTATCAGGAAGTACTCCATATAAAAACCTTTGTTGCCAACTACGCCGTCTATTCTCTCCAAGACCTTCCGTAGGATAGTCGATTGAAAAGTTCCTCAACCGCCGTCAGCAGCCACACGAGTCTCCGCGCCAGTTCGCGGAGGATATGCTGAGATTATGTAAAGAGGCTTATCGCTCTTTGAACGCTGCGGACGCCGAGGAAGTCACCCTTCACCATTTTATAAAAGGGTTGTTCTCTCGTACTCTAGCCGAGTCACTTCAATTACAACCTCCGGCATTTTTAGAGAATGCTATCGACCGAGCAGACCGTTTCGTCGAAGTTGAAAGATCCAAAGTTTCCCCTGGACAAAATTGGCGGCCGGTACCTGCACGCCCCCAAATGGCAAATGCATCTAATTTTACACCACAGCGTTTTGGGCACAGTTTCAATAACGGTGCTAGATTTCGTCCACCACATCCCAGGTATCAACCACGGAGTAATCAAATAAGGGAATATCAACCACCGCAGCGCCAGTGTGGAGTGCGACAGTGGCTTCCGGAGGACAGACACTCGTATCAACAACCTGGTAGCGTTTCTTTCCCAGTTTGTTCTGTGCCGTCTGATGACCCATCATTCTTTATTTCAATTTATGTTGAAAACAAACCTGTTAGAGCCCTTATAGATACTGGCGCTACACTCTCACTTGCTAACCCACTTATCTTTACTCATCCTCTACACGGACGTATACATAAATATGGGCCCCTCCCTACGTTAGTCGCCGCTAATGGATCCCCCTTAGAGTGTTTAGGGATTGTCCACATCAAGTTACAATTCGAACATTCGTGTAAGTACCATGACTTTTTGGTTGTCCCCGGCTTGACATGGGACTTATTGTTAGGTATCGATTCCCTTAGCAAATATGACTGCTTTATCAATGTCAGAAATCGAGCGGTAAGTTTTGGTGGAGAAATAGATTTGGCAAATACTAACGATTCGTTTGATGAGGTCGTCGTTTGTGCACGAATTTCTGCCGTCGTGAATCTTCCACCTACAAATATTGACGATGTACTGAAAGACCACACGGACATGGACATGGAGCATAAGGAGGGTCTTCGATCACTACTTTTATCTTTTCACGATGTTTTCGCATGGGATGAAAGCCAGATTGGTCGTACGAACTATATGCGACACTCTATTGAGACCGGAAACGCGAAGCCGATGTGGCAACCCCCGAGACGGATTCCGGCCCACTTACAGGCAGAGGTTAGCGATCTTCTGGACAAGATGTTGAAAGCTGGGATTATTTAACCCTCTCGCTCACCCTGGGCGTCTCCAGTTACCCTAGTACCAAAGAAGGATGGCAAATTACGTTTCTGTGTGGATTACAGACGACTGAATGCCCTTACGGTTAGGGATTCTTTCCCTTTACCTCGGATTGACGTTACTTTGGACGCCTTGGCTGGTGCTAAATGGTTTTCCACCCTGGATCTAAAGTCTGGATACTGGCAAGTTGAAGTTGAACCCAAAGACCAACATAAAACAGCTTTTATACTACCACAGGGATTGTTCGAATTCGAGACCATGCCTTTCGGCCTTTGCAACGCTGCGGCCACTTTCCAAAGACTGATGCAGGTGGTTCTAGCACATCTTTTCCCAACACACTGCTTGGTCTATCTAGATGACGTGATTGTGTTCGGTAGGTCTGTAGACGAACATAACCGTAGGCTCATGGCGGTACTGACAGCTTTACGTGACGCTGGGTTACGCCTGAACCCGGCAAAATGTTCTTTTCTTCGGCAGAGGGTCACGTACCTGGGCCATGAAGTCAGTGCAGAAGGCATATACGCATCTCCAGAAAAAATCGACACTATCCGCACGCGGCCCCCGCCGAAGTCAGCTACCGAGGTGCGCAGTTATGTTGGTCTTGCATCATATTACAGACGGTTTATCCCGCATTTCGCAGAGCTTGCGCGACCGCTACACAGATTGACTGAGAAAGGTAGACAATTTACTTGGACGGATGATTGCCAGAGATCGTTCGAGGAATTAAAAAGTCGACTGATATCGGCCCCGGTGTTAATGCTACCGAACACAGCTACAGATGCCCCACCCTTTGTCATCGATACGGACGCTAGCGGATTCGCTATTGGCGGAGTTTTATCACAGTCTGACGATTCAGGAAATGAACGCCCAATTTGTTTTGCGAGCAAGTCTCTAAATAAGGCGCAACGAAATTATTGCACCTATCGTAGGGAGTTATTTGCCCTGATGACCTTCGTTAAACAATTTAAACCGTTCTTATTGGGGAGACATTTTATTATCCGTTCGGATCATAAAGCATTACAATGGCTGCAAAATATGAAAGACGCCGAAGGACAGTTGGCAAGATGGCAGGAAACTCTGCAACAATTTGATTTTACCTGCCAATACCGGCCAGGCACGAAACATAACAATGCGGACGCATTGTCCAGGAGACCTGCAGCAACAGAGGATGTCTCTAGATACAGGGAGGATGCTACCATAAACGCCATAACGGTTAGTGAACCCACACGTCACCACTGGGCTGTCGCGCAGAGTACAGATCCGGACACAGCTATCGTATACGACCACCAGCTCCACGGTAGACACCGCCCCACTGATACTGATCTTTGTGGCTCGTCCGACATTGCTCGAATCGTGAGGAACCATTGGCAACACCTGTATCTAGAAAACGACCTGCTTTTCTTCAAAGACGACATGAACAATCAACCACGGCTCGTCGTTCCTGGGAGCTTGGTCATTCCAGTCCTAGAAGACATCCACAGAGAATTAGGCCATGTCGGACACACGAAAACAGAGGCCGCGGTAAGGCAACGTTTTTGGTGGCCGCACCTGTGGGAACAGGTGGCTACGTTCTGTAACACTTGTCCGACTTGTGCATCTTTTAAGAGCTCAATACCCAAACGCAGGGCACCACTCCAACCTATGACCACAGGATTTCCCTTCGAGCGAGTCGGCATTGACGTTATTGGACCACTGCCTTTTACACCTGCAGGTAACCGTTACATTCTGGTGATGGTGGATTATTTTACGAAATGGGCGGAGGCTGTCCCATTACGCCGGCAAGACGCCGCGTCGGTTACTAACGCCCTGCTGAGCGAGTGGATCTGCCGGTTTGGAGCCCCGCTTTCCTTACACTCGGATTGTGGAGCTAACTTTGAAAGTAAACTCGTACGCGATGTGTGCGATCTCCTACTCATCCACAAGACACGGACTACCCCGGCCCATCCAGAAGGCAATGGACAAGTAGAACGTACGAACCGCACCATTATCAGTCTCCTGAAGGCATTCGCCGAGGAACACCACCCCCATAACTGGGATACACGGCTGCCTTATGCGATGATGGCTTATAGAGCCACTATTCACTCCTCTACCGGCTACGCACCATATCATATGCTGACAGGACGCCAATTCAGATTACCAGCAGATTCACATTTTCCACTCCACTCACAAGAGTCGGACGTGCCAGACAAGTACGTACTCGATTTACAAGAGACGTTACGAGTCACACACAACTTGGCACGTGAACACCTCAAAGCCGCATATGATAGACAGAAGGAATATTTTGATAGGAGAACAAGCGGGTCAACCTTTAACCACGGTGACCTAGTCCTACGCTTTAGATCTATTCCCCCGGTCGGCACGACGGCAAAATTCTTCTATCCATGGGAAGGCCCTTACGTGATCACAGATGTCCTCTCTCCCACCACGTACATCATACAATTCAATTCAATTCAATTATTTTATTAAAGACCCGTCGGGGTCCCATCAAAGCAAGTAAAAATAAATTTACATGCAAATTTTAGACGATGTAGGCAAAATCTGCACAAAGTGCAATGCGTAGTTTTTGAGATTAGAAGTCCGTTAAGCAAAATGAAAATGAAAAAAAAACGAGGGGTGAAAAAAACACTCCAAAGCAAGATTTAAAAATGATTGTAGTAATTTACAAGGAGAAAAAAAATACCCCTCAGAAAAATAGCATCAGAAAAAAAGGGAGGACTGGCCTGCATGTGGCGGTACAAAATGGAATAAAGCCCGACATCAACATGGCCGAAATAGATGTCAGCTGTATATGGCATTGTGTAACGGATTTCATAAAATGGTACGTAGGCGGGTCGGTCAGGACTGGCCTGTATCGCCTTGAATAAGAAAAATAAGTGCCGAAATTGAAAACCAGTCTCAAGCCGATAGGAACCCAGATGCGGTCAGTTTCATTCAACCGAGTCCATCCGAACATGGGGGGAGATGCGAACAGACTACTAGTATATGGCGAATATAGAAGGCTTTGACAAGACCGCCGATGGAGCGCATTCTGTAAGGGCATGATGACAACCAGTCTCGAGGCGACAAGAACCCAGATGCGGTCGGTTTCATTCAACCGAGTCCATCCGAACATGGGGGGAAGGGAGATGCGACCAAACTACTAGTATATGGCGAATACAGAAGGCTTTGTCAAGATCGCCGATGGAGCGCATTCTGTAAGGGCACGATGACAACCAGTCTCGAGGCGAAAAGGCCCCAGATGCGGTCTGTTACATTCATCAGAGTCCATCCGAGGATAGGGCAAAGGAGATGCGACCAGATTACTAGTATATGGCTAATATAGAAGGCTTCGCCAAGAGCATCGATGAAGCGCATTCAGTGAGGGCATCATGAAGATCAGTCTCGAGGCGATAGGAACCCAGATGCGGTCGATTACATTCATCCGAGTCCAACCGAGGATGGGGGAAGGGAGATGCGACCAAACTACTAGTATATGGCGAATACAGAAGGTTTCGCCAAGAGCGTCGATGGCGTGCATTCTGTGAGGGCACGATGCATGAACTAAAAAATTGGAATAATTAACATTTCTGGTGAGGGATCTTAGGTAGCGAGACTACTCATAAAGAAACGTGAGCAGATACGGAAATTTAATAGCGGCATGCTAAATTCCCGGTGGACCTTTCTCAGTGTCATAGGAAAAGTTGTCTGGGAAGGATGAGGAAAATAAAAGTTTAATCGAGTCAGTATTCAGATAAAGGCGTAGCCTTCTCTTAAAGGTGTGTAGATTTTCTGAAGATCTTATATTTATTGGAAGGTTATTCCAGAGGAAAGTATACCTGGAAGCGAAAAAAAGGGAGCGCTTAGAGGTGGAGGACGCTGGAAGAGGTATAATTAGAGACGAATTGCGAAGATTGTATGGGCGACTACTAGGGGTAAGTGCTGAAATCCGAGGAAAATTTGAACTATGATTAATGCGAAAGAGGAGACAGAAGCCCGCTTCTAGTCTTCGAACCCATAAAAATTTTAGGTTAGTTAGTTGGCATCTATCTGAGTAGGAGATATTGGGATGTTCCCTATCTAAAAGTTTTTTTGAAAAACGTCACAAATGCACAAATGCCGGACGGCCCAACGTTTACGGCACACTATGACAAACTCAAACCTTACAGAGGTCGACTTCCCATTGCGAGAGATGATACCCTTCCTATCATCCCATCCCACCTAGTCCCGGAACCTACAGTTGAGGTCGAGATTGGTGATGGTCATGACCCGCCGGCCAACGGCCCTGAGGACAGGGCCATACCTTGAGGAGGGGGGAGTTGTAAAGATCAGATATTTGTAGTTAAGTTTGTTTTAATTACTTTTGTTAATGCTCTCCTGAGCGACAATCCGCTCTCTTTGAAGCGACGGTTACGGATCGCGAAGCGGACGCGCAAGAGGTGAAACCCCGCGTACCGACACCCAGACAGGAAGGAGGGTAAATCGTAGGAAAGCTCGCGCATACTTTCTGGTTCCCTTACTCCATTGTCACCCCCTTTACCCCCCCTGCCCACGAATTACAATTTCCCTACTTGTTCTCGATTCAATAAACGTTCCTCGTTGGAAGTTCATTTCTGGTATTGACTGTTGCGATTCGCGTGATCATACCCATAAGACCCCCACACAAAGGAGAGACGTGATGGATATGTCCGCTATGCCTCCTACAGACGAACTGACTCAACTATCTCCCAAAGACCTCAACACAGACGAGACCAAGTCTTCAGGTAACCCGAGTACTACAAGATACCCAAACAATTAGCATAATATACATAAATGAGCTAAGACAGCTATCAAGAGCATGAAAACAGCATTGGTTGACTCACGATATTATCTGCAAACGAATTAATAACACTCACAGATTCTAATCCGGTGGACAAATAAGAGTTTACGCAATGAGGACTTAAACAAAACCTCAGTATATTGTGCTCATTCGCAGCTACATTCAGTGGGCGTAAACGGATGCTTTCTCCATGATTTATAAGCCAATTTTGATAAATTGGCTCCTTTTAATGCCAAAGAAGGTACAATGAGTGGTGCTTTTGAAACATATCTTTCGATGCAAATACGCTTCAAAATGCTTCAATCCAGAGGGGGCTCTGGCCCTGTCCAGCCCCTTTCAGCCCCGCCTATGAAGGATCCATGTGCTGGTGAGGGGGCTCTGGCCCCACCCAGCCCCTTCCAGCCCCGCCTATGAAGGGGCCATGTGCTGGCAGGGTAAGTTTTTGCGGGTTAGAGGACGCGAAGCTGACTTTGCATTAAATCTAACTCAAATCTTCCGCGCACCGGCACTCTCACTCCAAGTGATCGATCTTATGCCACGCGCAACTTCTCCATAGTAATTCCACTGCCTCTGTTCACTGCATCTAAGCGCTCCCTATTTTTTGCTTCCAAATATGATTTCCTTTGGAATAATCTCCCAGCAGAATTTAGGTCATCCACTAAGTTATCGGCATTCAACTCGTTCGCGAACACTCAGCTGCTTGACTTGGAGAAGGGTCCCCCTGGAATTTAGTGGTAGATTTATTTGTCGATCAAGGGGTAACACTCACTTTTATCTTTGATACGCCCTGTTTTTAGTTGGTAACCAACTAGTTATTACTAAATCCACTGCTACCACTCCTCCCCATAGCGGCGATTCTCGTGGCTCTCTATGTCACCTCATCATTTCAATCTCCAGCAGTCTGTCAGCGCTCACGGCGGAACCCTCTGTATTCACCGTCTACTAGTAGTTGTGTCGTATCTCCCTTGCCCGCTAATCGGCTGGGGTCGAAGCGGTCTGCGACCGATCGCGTCTCGTTTTCTCTCCTTCAGTTTCTTTGACGCGAATGGCCTTATTCGGTGTATGAATTCCTCCTTGAATCCCTTATACAATATCGCGTGCAGGCCAGTCCTGCTTGCATTTTTAACATTTCGTAAGCGACAGATTTTTCTCCTTTAAAGTAACTTCAGTCATTCTGTTTATTCTCTATTTGAGTCATTTCACTGCTCGCTCATCACTTTTCTTAACTTTTCTTAACGATAGCCATGTATTGCACATTGTACTGATTCGGCCTAACTCAACTAAAATTCTTATGAAAATGTGGTTTTACTTACTATGAAGGGACCCCGATGGGTCTTAAAATTATTTTGTTTATTTATTCATCTATTTGCGTAATTGCATATGGCAGGTTTTGCTCAACACTCTGGTCATTTGATTTCAAAAACCCTGTGTAACGTTTCTGTCTCTTGCTTAATTTTCCTGAATTCTGCTACGCGGGATCCAAGACGAAGGTGCGCAATTGCGAAGAATGCGTAGAAGCGCATAGTTTGCAGACTATCCACAGAAGATGTGGCCCAGATGTAATTTTGGGAGGCGGATCACGTTCGAAATCGTCAGGAAGGGAGGCGAATAGTGAGCCGCAGGTTCTTGCTGCCACCAAAAATGTGGCAATGTATACTGTCAGTAAAAAATGTATTGGGGCAACATGAAACATGGCCTAAAAACCCGGCGTCCTTCCCCCCCACCCTCCGGCAACTGTCATGTGTTCCGGAAACACGCATATAAACGACTGATTGAACTCGGCTGAAAAATCAGCCGTAGCTTGTCAAGTTAAATTCCATGTCTGTCCCCGTAATTGTACAGGCCAGGCAGGACGACGACTCGTCTGACGAATACGGAGAACGAACTGGCCATCTGGAGAGACGGATAATCGTCTCAATTTCCTACTCAACCGTTAAAGGAAGTCTATGAGTCTTACTTCTTGAACGTTCTGATAGTGACGCGAGCGGACAGCAAAACTAGGCGGAAATTGTTGGAGGTATGGGTGTCTGACACCAAATCCATCCACGGAAACTTCGATCTACACTTTGTTATCATGCGTTGCGTCCACGCATTCAGATGGCGCGACCCAGACAGCCAGGGGCGCACGCAGTCACCACGCCGCTAGAACACTGTGAGTTAGGTGGCGCGAGCCAGACCCAGTCACTGACACAATCCTCTCTTCTTGAAGAAAGAGACACGATCGCCGGGACAAGCGCTTTATTAGCCTGACGTTTCGGATTCCTACTCGAATCCAAAACGTCAGGCTAATAAAGCTCTTGTCCCGGCGATCGTGTCTCCTTCTTCAAGACTACTTCCTGGGACTCGTCTCTTTGCTTCTATTGGCAATCCTCTCTTCCTTCTTCCTTATTAACTTATTCACATGTTGCTGCACACAAACAGTATCTGATTGTGGGCTGATTTGCAAATCCAAAATCTCGGCCTAATATGCATGCAGTCCAATGATCTCGCCTTCATCTTTTTGAAAAAAATAATGGAATAGAGCAGACTTATTGTAGCACTTCTTGATTGATGTCAGCCTCCTCATAGTTGGTGAGGACTATGATCGGGACCAGAAGGTATACGAGTGAGGAAGGGAATTCCCGTTCAAAAGGAACATTCTGCTGTATGTATTGGAAGTGGCGAGTAACCGAGTTCCTTGTAGATATTTCTCGTTCGGATTTTAAGATTTTTAGTTGTCGAATGGTCGGCGTTGGTGGAAATTTAAAAAATGCACTTTATTGAAGTTTCTCCCAGCTTTGATGTAGATTCTGTTATTAAACTTGGCATTTTAACAGGGTGACCGTATCGCTGAAGACGAATATTCGTGTTTAAACCCATAAAATATCACAAGAATTGGTGGATATTACTGTGATCTTCCTATGTAAATGCCGTTTATATCGCTCGTTGAGGCCGATTATGGTCACATATTGGTATTCGCACGTCCTTAGGGGGTGGGGAGAAGTGGGAGCTGCTTGCTTCGTCTTCTTTCGAGGACGTCGGTTCTTCAATTAGCTCGAGTCACATCCATATCCGTCAGTTCAGTTCAGTTTAGTTTATTGAGTGAAGTAGGCGTGAGCCATTGAGTACCCTATTCACAACGTAAAACTAAGTGCGGTATACAGAGAAATTAGCTGGCTGAAATAAATAAAAGCAGTCGATAATGGTATGACAAAGTGGGACTGAGTCTCAGGGAACAATCTCGGTCTCTCATCGCTCTTGGTCATTTTGGAACATAAATAAGTCAAGGTATTTTAAAACTCTGTATTGATGGTGACATCACAACATATGCAGCGAAGGCATTCCATGGCTTGACCACTTGCACAGAGAAGGAGGACATCCGGACATCCAGTCTTGTCTGCTGAATGCGCAATTTAAACGTGTGAACTCGGAGGTTGGTCGTGGTAGCAAATTCAAAAAGTCCTCGAAGTCCAGGCTGTTGTCAGACTCCTTCACTATGCCGAATGCTTACAGAAGATCACCACGAAGTTGCCTATAACACAAGTGGGAGATATACTGATTTACTAGGTGTGTTGCATAAGGAAAGGGGATTGGACTCCAAACCATATCCGTGGTTCTCCTCTGGACTCTTTCGAGGCAATTTTGGTCTAGAACTACACACGATCTCCAGGTATGTATGCCGTAATGCAGGTGCTGACGCAAGAACGTTCGAATGTCTTCGAGAAAACACCTTCTTCGAAATCCATAAACGCCAGTATCCACGGACAGCGTGTATTTCCCACCGATAATCTCCCTGATGGAATTGTATAAGCAGTTTGTCGGCGATGAAGGATAAACAACCTGAACTAATCGCGGGAGAAGTCTTGTAGGATTGCCGATGTGCACACACTATCTATTGGACACCAGCACCTGTTTGGTGACTGGTTATTTTTTTCGCGGGTATACTTAATATATTCCTGACTTAATTGAAGAGCGCTGGCTGCTGTAATTTTGAACAAATGAATTCACGCAAGTTTCCAGCTCTGTTTGCGTTGGAGTTGTTGTGAGAGTTTGAATGAGGGTTAAGATATGATACGGGAGTATGGGATTGACGTGAATTTGGTCTACGATAATGCTTATCTTTGGGACTGTTCATATGGTTTGGGAAGGGTTAAGGTTATGGTAGGGGTTAGAGTTGTGGTGAGGGTCAGGTTTAAGGGCAAGGGTTGGTGTTAGTGCTGACGTTACGTTGAGAGTTAGGGTTAGGTCTGAGGATAGGCTTAGGGTTTAGTTTTTAGTTAGGTGTAGGGTAAGGGCTAGAGCTTGGCAGGGATAAGGTTCATACCATAGCTTTCTGCTTGGGTTAGTCATGTGACTTCTTAATATCCTGGTCATGTAGGAATCACACAATTGGTCAGTTGTTCAGGCGACGACGACTTACGCAAGGCGGCCAACCATGATTAACAGCTGTGATTTCTATTATCATACTGTTGACAGTCCCTTTCCTTTAACAGTTTATTTTATTTCTTTC